TCAAACAACCGTATTTACCAGGCAACTTCTTTCACCGTCGCCGCCCCGCCACTTGGACGCGCAATAACTTCGGTCAAATAGAAGCAGGGCGCTCCAAGTCAAAAAATCATAAGGACACCTACCACTCGCCCTGCTCACCTGGAGGTTCAAATTGCGTGTACCTTGCACAGTTATGATCACGCCTGAGCTGGCTGGCCTTACTAAGGTCACGAATACTGCCTCTTCGTGTGCGACGATCTGAGACAGCAGAACCAACAGCACTTCAACCCGGTCTTTCCAAAAGGCAAATACCGAGTAGCTGACGTTCAAGGGCTACTCCTCGAGCAAGCTTCCGCGCTAATCTGCTGCTTCCTATCAGCAGTGGGGCGTCGATGTTGAATAAAGTGCAATCTCCTCGTGGGGCAGGAAGGAGCATAATCGGATAGTAGTGCTCCAAAACATCCATTCCTGACCCGATTTTCACGCACGGAACTCAGAAGTCACAATCATTAGACTAATCAATCTGTTGCCTGATACCCACTGGCGGCTGCAGAGGATTTCGGACGGGCACAAGAGTGTTTGCAAATCCCTCTCCCGACTGGCGGCACCTCTGATACCGACATTTTTCGAGAACTTGCAGGACGCACTGGGTGACACTCAGAGAGGGTCTGTGCAAGGCCGCTACTAACTCAACAGAAACCAGAACAAGTACCAATCTGGTTTTCTTTTACCGTGCGTATACGGTTCTCTGTGAAATTCGTACAATCGCTGTAGAGCGATCATGAATTTGCGGACTCCATCTCCAACTGTGAAATTTGCATCAATACCACAGGTCAAAAACCCCATAACGTAGGCCATTGGGACACTTTTATTGTTCCGTGATATGTGAAATTAGTGTTGCCTGATAATGCATTATACCTGGACGAGGCTTCAGTAATGTATCAAACAGACTCAATTCTCTTTGCTGTGTTAGCACCTGAAAAATGCATGCAAAACTAAAGCTTTTTTCTAAAATCTTTTCAAACATTTTAGCCGTTGTTTTATGGGACAATGTCGTCATCGCGGTAATACTACTCAGTCTTTCAATTTGGATACCCTGCAGCGTACTTCTAAATCATTTGGTGAGTCCTTGCCACGTTAGACTGTTCTGTGAGTTCTCTGTTCGCATTATAAAAAACCCCCAGTCTGTGTTGCTACCACAAGTATAGCAGGAAATCATTATGCAGGACTAGATATTCATAGGCTCAGAACCAGGTTGGAGTGCACCAAAAATAGAATACGGTAAGTGCCCAGGCCACGGCGATGACTGACGCTGATCCTCAAACGGCTGGCCTCGTTTGTTTCTTAGGGTTGGAGTCAGATGAGAACGTGTCGGCTCTCATAAGGAGCACTCTTATTGGCGTTGTCGGTCAGGACTGAATTCGGATGTTTTCACTGTCAGGTCGGCGCGACGCACGGACAAACAATCTCAATCAGGTTTGCAGAGAGTTGTTTGATTGATCTACGTTACTTACCGACTAGACGCACGGTTTGCGCTCTCATCTGCGTTTCCTCACCAATTTCATGCAAGTTCTAGAGATTCAGACAGAGTCAAACGAGGTCGGTTAATCCGGTTGTCCGTCTTTTCTTTGGACAGAGGGTTTGGTGAAGATAGCAGAAGCTGCCTATCAATGCGGTCGTTTCTTCATTTTCTCTGACCAGGCCTACATCTATGATCGCAGAAAACAGCATTTTTTTTAAATTTAGGAGGAACTTATTTTCGTTCGTGATCGCAACGGCAAGGTGCATTTTCTCCAGTACCTTAACACGGCCCAGATCCGTAATACAAGGATCATGAAACACTAAGATTGTCTGACAACGTGTCATGGAAATCTGCCTGTTCTGACGTACGCCAGAGGGAATGTTAAGAAGACCACACTTTTCTGCCATTCAGAAGATCTCTGTTCTGGGATATGCGGGTTGAATAAATCGAATTAACTTGGAGAATCCGGGTAGACTGCAGCTCCTCTGTCATGCTTGACAGTGGTTGCCTTCGCCGTAAAAAGGGTCTTAGTTTGAGTGGAATTGTTGTGAGGAATACTCCCCTTCCACTCTCGTTATGTTCCAGTAGTAAGACAACTAGAGGTGTTATTAGGCATCGGGAGTGATTGGACGAGCCACTTGATCCAATTTTAACCCTAAATCTTACTGCCTCTATTCTAAAAAAGAACATAATTAAACCCACATGTTTCTTCACAGCGTTGTACACTCTAACACAATCTAGATGCTACCTCTAGTGTCATTGTAAAAGCAGAAACCTGATGTCAAGTTCGGTGGATAAAACGGAAGACTCCATCTACTGGCTAATTCCCCTCAGGAAGAATAAAGAAATCGAATTTGTGTAAATCAACACCACGAGTTCTCATTTCTAACAGGCAGTCCGTCTTATTATTTTAGGACAAAAAACTCGCCCAAGCACACAACCAAGCTGTCATGGAAGGCCAGCGGTTTTTCGCAGCATCACCTTTAAACGGACATCTTTCATATGCGAAATGACCCCTGACATCCATTTTTTTCACGCTCCTTCTTCCGTGCCACTTTTAAAGTCTTTCTCTTATCCTGTAGTCCAATGAAAATTTGTGAATATGCGCCATATTTTATTGACAAAAATGTGAGAAAACGAATACATCTGTACAGTTCTGAATATTTACCACCCTCATTGACCTCGCGTAGAACAACGCTTCTTATGTCGAAGGAGATCGGCCGTGGAGGCGTTTGTGGGCAGGCGTTTGCCGCATTGTGGGCACTTCTTCTCTGCCATGCCATCGTCCTCATAATCCTCATATTCTTCTTCCTCGCCTTCTTGGCTCCCAGTTCCAACTGCCTCCTCCTGCTTAGGATAGGCGAAAGCGTCAGCGGACGACAAGAGGGACTCGTCAACAGTTGGGCCCGATCTCCGGGCGCCCTGTCCAGCTTCAAGTGCCAAAGCTACTTGTGCGTGCAAGCGAAGAGCTAGCTCTAAGCTGGACAGGCGAGAGGTAGCTGCAACCTCTGTATCAGCATCTTCCGCGTCAGGTTCCACCTTCACTTCTGCAGGCGTATAGAGT